AGAAACAACATATCAAAAATAGCACAAAGTCCCTTTGGTGCAACGCCTTCAAAATGTTTGATATGCTAATAGATTATTTACAAASAGCGTTTACCAATTTCCTCCAAATTTTTATTTAGAGTTTCGTCTTTGTTCACARTATTCAAGTAAATGCATTCAAGATATATAAATTTATATACACATAAACAGTACTTTTCATTTGTTTTGACACACATGCTTGTTATTTTATTCAATGAGTAGATAAAGAGTACATTAAAGAGCAAAAGATATATTAAGTATAGTTTACAATATGAACGGCTCGAGAATGTAATTCCCATACAGCACGGACGCGAGTTTTGTAAGCGACTTTTGAAACTCCAACACCAATTAACATGAATTACAGTGAGATAAATGACGAAAAATGACAAATAAGGTAACTGCTGAGTTAAGTCGCTAGTAAGCATGCGCAATTACATCTTCTCAAGCTGAAGTCTAATTGACAATTATATCTTATTAAGTGTAGCATTGACGTAGGAGCAGCTGGCTTATCTGTCATCACAGAAGCAACCTTTAACCATCCGCTCCCAATTCAKCTAGTGACAGTTTGCTAATATTCTGTTCTTTCCATTCCATTATTTGTAGCCTGACGCGTAGGCTTTGAAATTTTGCTGCTGCAAACGTCGCTGCAAACATGAAGTCGGTGGTAAATGCTGTGCCTTACTGGTTGCTACCTATTCACAATACAAGACATGGCCGTCAGATTCTATTCTAATTCGTGCTATTTTTGATAAAAAGTAATGTGTTTCGTAACTCATTAGAGTCAATTTCGTATGAGTGAGAAACGTACGATAGAAATTACCGCACGGTTACCGCACAATTACCGGACCTGGTCTGCACAATTTTGGTGAGCCAATGAGACACTAGAATTTGGTTACAGTACGATTACGGCCACACGGCCGTTTCCCACTGAAATCCGCTCTAATATATTACATAACGCAAGTTTAACGGACTAAAAATGCAATAGACGAGGTGACGGTTTTGGCGGCCATCTTAGCCGTTAGGCAAAGTGTCGCAAAATAACAAGGATAGACCGGGAAATCGATGTCAAATAATTAACGCTTAATTCAAATTCGGAAAGAGTTATCAATTACAAACGTTAGATACTGTAAAAAGGAGTTAACTGGTCAAATTCGAGTAAAAATTGTGTGATTTTCTCTTAACAATAAACTGTGAATTTAATATGATAATATTAAAAATAGGAATATATCAGTCAATCAATCCTTCGAGATTCAAAAGAATAGCGGACATCTTGTACCAGGGAAAAAATTCAAATTCAAAACCAGTCTTTTGATGGCGTTCAAGCAACAAGGGTGTTCTGAATATCAAAAATCAAGCGCGATATCCAATGAAAGTAAACAACACAGTCATGAATAAAAAATGACGTCATGTTGATTGACAGTTGCACTTGGAGAGCACGTTATGCAAGAACACAGGTACACTACTTGCAATGGATTTGTTAACAAGTATCGTTTTACTTCTGGTTATATCAGATGGATATTTCATCTTTGGTAAGTTTTTAGTTGTACAATGTTTTTGTACAAATATTAAAAATTAGAATAATCACGTAAAATGTTATTACTGAAATTATTACCAGAATAATTAGGTACTTTGGTTTTCTCTGTTAAACGTTCTYGATATTACATGCACATATTTGTACAAATAGATAGGTTTATCACATAGTTATCTATGAAATACTTATATTTCTCATGTTTTTATTCGTGGTTTCTTTGCTATTTTCAATAGTGAATATAATGAAAAGAACACATTTGTGATTTTTCTATATATATTGAAAGTAAATAAGTTATTTTAAAACGTCTGCTTTCTTAGACAGTTATGTGATAAARAGAATAYGACCTGGTCGCTTGGAGATACGAATTTCCTCKWGTTCAACTGACTTKTTTTCAACATTTGTTTGAGGAWCAAATCCACATCTCCGCGCGCCCATGTAATACTWATAACCTCTATAYATTTAAAACTTGTAACAAGTTAAAGATTGGGCTATAGCAAYGACTTGATTMTTTTGTYAATAACAGAAGTGTTGATATTGTATTTTTGTCTTCACYTCGCCGTATCTCTAACTTCTAAAGCTAAACAACAATGAAACAAAGGTGTTTTGGCCCATTCATCGCAGCTGTTCGTAGATACTTTACAAAATTAACTTATCAGAAACATTTCAATAAAATTAACTTAAATTAACGC